AGGCCAATTTAATAACTGGTGATGTAGTCCCATCATTCGCCGATATATTTTAGTTTTTTCAATGAGCCAATTAATCAAGCGGACAACTTATGCTGGAACTCTGGGATGTTAAATATTATTCTAATTTCTCTTTTGAACTCTCGATAAATCTCTAGAAGAGTGACATTGATACCAAGATCACATGGGTGTTCCTTAGATTATGGTTCTTGCTCAAAATTTGCTCATACACATGTGATCAACAATTGGAGTTGGTAGTGGAGCTTGATTAATCTTTAGGAGAGATTTGGCACTGGATTTATACTGTTGTGAGCACCCTCTTCTCGATGAACAATGTTTTCCAACTTTTACACCTATTGATTTATTATGCTGATCTCTCCTTGAAATCTGCTGATCTCTTCTCGAATACCCTCCATGGATTGTTATGCTCTCCTCAAAATATTGCTTCACAACTTCTATAATTTGTGACAATAGATCATTGATCCCAAAAATAAGTTTTTATGTCATAGTGGTGGATGTATCTTGTAAAGTTCTGATACCAATTGATGTAAGAGAGAATAGAGAATAAAAGGTACAAACAAAGAGAAAAAAGATACATGGATGAGAAATTATATCTACTCTTAAAGTTTACCAAAGAGTCCACCCCAAAAAATCTTTACATAAAATTTGAAATAAAATTTTAATTTTACCTCGCAATTCTCTATAACTAAAAAAGACACACATAACTATAAAAGATATAAAGAAAACTAAAAGCCCAAAAAACTTTGAAACCTCAATGTCAATCTCCTAAACCAAAAAATAAATAAGAACATAAAAACCCATTTTGCATCATATCCCCAACCACTAAATTTTACGTCCAACTTTCACGTTTGATTATTAAATCTTTATAAAATAAGCGGTCTTATTTTAGACTGTTCATTTCAATCTTTCATGGCCTTTTTAGTTTTATCTTGTTGTTGCCCTTCAAGGTCGATCATATGTGCGAAAAGATTTCCCAAACTCAATATCAAATTAGAAGCTGAGTCAATGTCCATCCAAGTAAATTTTCTAAAAAATGGTTGGGGTCTCTTCCTCATTCTTGAATCTTTACTCTTTAGTGGGTACTGCTCATGAATCTTTACTCTTTAGTGGGCACTGCTCTGCCAATATTCTATTTGGATAATATACGATCATTTATTTTTAATACAATAAGATCACAATCACTCTCAGCCATTAGATATAAAATCCAACATTCAAGAAATTTTGATTAGGATTTTGTGCCCAATCAATGACACATTCTTATCCACCCGATTTCATAACTATTGATCAATAATAATTGTGATTTCCTTGTACAAAAAGTAACTGGTCTCACTATTATATTTCCTATTCTATTTATTTCATCCTTAACTTGTTTTTAGTTTGGACTTCATGAAGGGACTCTATTCTTGACCAACCAAGTCTTGGACTAATTGGAGAACTGTATTTAATTCAGACTGATCGGGTCTTGAGCTTAGACTCCTCGGCAATTGAATCAAGAAAGGATTCTTGTCGAGACTACCAAGTTTCTGCTAAATGTGCATTGTACATTCTTAATCGACAACAGGGGAATATAATAAGCAGCCTCACACTGAGAGACTAAAAATGAAAAAAAATACAAAACATTGGAAGGTAAAATTAACTTAAATAAAAAAAACATAACTGGAAGTTAAAATTTAGGGAAACGTACAAAAGGCCCCCAAAAGGAGACTTTCTAGACAACTTCCCTGCAACCAAGTTTTTTTAGTAACTTTTACTCAAATTGAACTTTTCTAGTAAATGTCCCTCAAGTAAAAAAAAGTCATATTTTTTGACGAAAATACTCATGGTACCAGACCGCCCCCATTTTGTGCTGGACCGCATGCCCAAAGTGCCGGGCCGCCCCTATTTTGTGTCAGACAACATGCTTTCCACAAGCCCAAAGTGCCGGACCGCCCCCATTTTGTACCAGACCACATGCCCATAGTGCTGGACTGCCCCTATTTTGTACCGGACCGTATGCCCAAAGTGCCGGATTGCCCCTATTATGTGCCAAACCACATGTTTTCCAGAAGCAAACTGTCGGACCACCCCCATTTTGTGCCGGACCGCATGCTTTCTAAAGGGTATTTTGATTTTCATTTTACCTTTTTTTTTAACTTGGGGTATTTGCTAGGAAAGTTAAATTTAAAGTAAAAATTGCTAAAAAAAACTTAGTTGGGAAAGTATGATTTTGAGGGATTTTTGTAATTTTCCCTCAAATTAAGTACTCGATAGAAACTTATATGACCAGTTTTTTTTCCCACATTGGATTTGTTAGGATCCATGAGATGCGGGCAGTGGTGTTAAATGTGATAATGTGCATTAAATTTTTTAAAGAGTGGATGATAAATTACAAAATGCAAATCTAAATAAACACTTATTTTTTTCCAACTCGGACCATACCACTTCCCCTGCCCTCATTCAACAAGGCTTTGTCTCCCTCATAAATTAACAAATATCCTTCTCCTAATCTAATTTCCTTTAATAACTCATTCCTCTAAATCTCATCTCTGCAAAATTTCTCCAGTTTATTAAGACATCCTCTCCCCTTGTATCCTAAACTCCTTCTAAAGCCTCTACTTTTCAATCACTTTCCCATATCCCATAGTTGCAATATATCTCTCCTCTAAGTGGTATTGGGCAACTCGAAGCTCAAATTAGTAATGGAAAATTCTAATTATGAAATCTAGAAGGCAGAAAGTTGAGTATTTAATAGTGGAAAATATTGTATTTGGTTAGTCTATTTGGAATTGAATTCTTTATTTAGTTTGAGCTGAAATTTGGTACAGTAGAAGGCCTGAAAATTAGACACTTTTAATCATCATTGGAGTTTTCATTAATGATATAGTCATATTTTTGGTATGGGATGGAGGCATAGGTGGCCATTCCTACTATGGATAGGTGACCATTTTCTTACTAAACTACTAAAAAAACAAAAATGGTCATAATCATTAAATGAATCCACCAATTGCAAATCGAAAAGGGAAGTTCTACTTTTAACTTTTTATACTGAGCGTATATTTCGCTTTTATTATGTTTTATCTGACATTGATCTTAATATGCAAGGCCTTCAGTTGCTTTGTATGGTAAGAAAAAGCTTGATCCGTATTTATGTGAAAAAAAAGGGTTAGGGGGATGCCATGTTAACGTGTTGCTTGATGTTATTTATGGGTGCGGTTTATATACAGGCCACGTTCTAAACAATCAAAGTAGATTACACCTTCAAATAATGTCGAGAAATGTGGTTTTAATATTGGAAATCTTTATGATAGATCTAAGATATATTTTCATCTTTAATTATAAACTTTAAAGCTTAAAAAATGATGTTGATCGAGCAGATCTATGAAAACTTGAAAATCTTGAAAATTGATGGTCTAAAAATGCATTACAAGATGCACTATTTTCAAAACTTGAAATCCATTTTTTTTTCTCATGTCCATGTATTCAATGTTGAGATGATCAATTTGAGGATATTTGGCCATCTAAACAACCTTTCCTATAAAGGAAAAAGTTTATATAGAGGCGAGGCTCTAAACAGTCAAATCAAAGCCTACCTCGAAAATTCCATTAGAAGAGGTTGTTTTGATGCCAAATATTCTCAAATTGATAATCTCGACAACAAGATGCATGGAGATGAGATAAAAATGGATGTCAAGTTATGAAAGTAGTGTATTTTGTAATGCATGTTTGAACCGTCAATTTTCAAGATTTTCAAGTTTTCATAGATCAATCGAATTCGCCTTTCCCCGATGGTTCTGCATTCCAATGTGGGTAGGATTAGCCAACAACAGATGAGCGACCTGGGAGATATACACCAGTTTTAAGTATTAAACTTTATAATTAAAAATAAAAATATATTTTAAGGCTATCATAAAGATTTCCAATATTGAAACTACATTTCTCAATACTATTTGAAGGTATTTGATTGTTCATAACTCTGACTATATACAAACCACACCCTTATTTGAAGGTAGGCTCTAATTTGATTGTTTAGAGCCGTGATTCTATACAAACTACACCCTTATTTATAGGATGTGGTATGTATAAGGCAGAGGTTCTAAACAATCAAAGTAAGGCGCATATTCAAATAGTGTCAAAAGATGTTTTAGTATTGGAAATATTTGCGATGGCCTAAATTTTTTTTTTTATGTCTAATTATAAAATTTAAAGCTTAAAAAATAATGTACATCGAGCAAATATATGAACGCTTGAAAATCTTGAAAATTAATAGTCCAGAAAATGTGTTACATGACATTATTTCCAAGACTTATCAATTTTGAGTATTTATCGACATTGAATTTTTGAGGTCCACCTTTAATATAAAATTTTCCTTTTTAATATGAGGTGTGGTTTTATTTATTTTGATAGGGCTGCAGCCCTACCTAACCATTTTCCTTTTGCCTTTTTTGTTTTCTTTTACGATAATTACGGGGAGTCGTTATTTCACAAAGAGTACGCTCCCTCTTCTTCTTTGAATAGGCTTGCTCTACGCCTATCTTTTTCTTCCGGAATTCCCGGATATTTATTGAATCCCCATCTCATCTTGATTCTTAACCCTACTCTAACAAGGATTCTTCTTGGTCCTAATTACCTTGGTTTAACTTATTCTTCCGGTTCTAATTAAACCCTTTTTTTTTTTTTAATTATCTATTTTAACAAGGCTAATTACCTATCCTAACTTATTATTCCGGTGCTAATTACCTCTTTAAACCTTTTTTTATTACCTCTTTTAACAAGGCTAATTAACTTGCTGTAACTTATTATTCCGGTGCAAATTACCTCTTTTAACCCTTTTTTTTTTTTTATTAACCTCTTTTAACCTTTTATTTTGTTTATTTTGTTTTTGTGATAAATACAATCCTATAACTTTATCTGATCACGGCTATATAAAGAGGATTCTCTATTAGAAACCTCCTCAAATTATTTCCTTTCACATAATTGCATCTCCCTCTCCTAATTTCTGTGAATTATCTCTCCTCTTGCTGTTCTTCCGTACAAGTTCTCCAAATTTTGCAATGGTTTCCTACTCCAGCATTAATTACAATATTTCATTCCAGACGAATCCAGTCATTTTTGATGGTCCGAACCCTTCATACTCGAAATGTGCTCCTCGACCTTGTTATCAGAGAGAGGACCACATTCAGGGGTGCAACAGTGGCACATGATCGGTTTCAGCCTTTCGTCAAGGTTTCTTGCAGTATCATTCCAGCCTGTTCCACCCAAGAACTACAAACACTAGATAGCACCTTCTTCTTCATTCTTAACGAGTTTCAACTCATGGAAATACCCTCACAGATCATCCATAGCCTTTCTTTGGAGATTGCCTATCGGACATGGATCCTAACTGACTCCCTCCAGGGGTCTGGCCTGGAGGTTCACGTAGTTGTCGATATTAATGGAGAGAGAGAAATTGTCCAAGTTGAAGAAGTGGAAACTGGGTATCTTGAGTTTCTTAGGATCATTGAGGCCTCACAAGAGGATTATCCTGCTAAACCAGTTTCTAAGTCTGTCGTAGAGGCCCTAAAGAGTGCAGATATCGGGGAACAAGAGGAGGTTACTTGTGCAGTGTGCATGTCTGAGATTGATTCTTCCGATGCTGATACGAAGGTGCTTCCGTGCTCTCACAGGTATCATAGTAGTTGTATCTTCAAGTGGTTCGAGTCGAGAAATTCGTGTCCTGTATGTAGGTACCAGTTGCCTACTGAGTAAGATTTCTATCTTAACCACCAACTAACGATTTGTCCGAATCCGAAGCCCTCCACTAACAATTTGCCGGAATCCGAAGCCCTCTACTAACAATTTGTCCGAATCCGAAGCCCTCCACTAACAAAAAGCAGAGGATGTGGGCTCGAGCCATATCTATCAGACTCACTTGTTGAATTTGTTGTCCTTTGTATCTCTTGCTACATCTTTTTTCTCTGTTCAAACTGTGCACAGAATACCATTGTTTTTCTTTATAGTGAATAGTTGATTGTCGAACACCCTTTTCTTGATGAATGGTGTTTTCCATCCACTACAACCGCTTATTCACTTCATCGATTTCTCCCTGAAGTTTGTCTCAAAGTTTGCCAATATCGCTTCAAATATCTTCTATGACTTTGTTTATGCCTTATATAATTTGTGGTAATGGGTTATTGATTACAAGAGAAGGTTTTGGTGGGATTGTCATGAATGGATCTTGTAAGCTATGACACCATGGATGCAGGAAAGATCAGAAAGAAATAAATAATTTAGATAAATAAAATATAAAAATAAAAATAATTTAGACAAATAAAATGATGATATATTGTACCTTCTCTTAGGATCCGCAAGAGCGACCACCCCAAAAATATTTTTTCACAAGGTCTAAAAGCAAACTCTTTTCTCTTCACTCTATTATTTTTTTTTTGTCCAATTACATATTCAAAACAAAAAAACTCTAAACTAAGAAAGCCTAACTAATATTAATCTTCCTTCTACAATTAAAAGAGACACAAATGTCCCTAAACAAAACTTGAAACCCAAAATAACTCCAAAACAAAATTCTAATTTTCTAAAATAATAAAAATAAATTAAAACCCTAATTACATCATCTTGGTTTGTATAAAGAGGATCATTATTCCTACTTTGGGATTGTATAATTTGTGATTATTTACCTTAAAAAAAAGAGTCCATAATCATTTTATAAATGTCAGGTGTCACATCTTATAGCCAAGTGTACCTTTTATTATGTTAAGGATGAAGCCAGTTAAAGTATAATATTTAACCCTTTTATTTTTTTTACTTTTATTTTTTGGTTTATTTTTTTCACTTCCCAATCTCTCCTTCATCTTTAGCCAAGTGTACCTTCATCCTGCTTTTTGGGAATTAATGTGTACCGTGTCAATTTTTATTACAATAATAACAAGCAGCCTTGTATTAAGTTTTGGGTGGTGCGAAACCTCCTTTGAGTGAGAAAATGCTTATCAGTGCTCACATTGTAATTTGGTCATCCCTCGTAGAGCAATTTGAAAAAGCTTAGTTTAAGGTCTATGGCCGATGCAAAGGGACCTCATTTATAAAAGTTGGTTGGATTCCATTCACATAACAAGTAACATTTTGTCCTTAGTCCCTTGTAGGTAGGTTGTTATGAGCCACAAGTTTATGAAATTCTCCAATAGCCCTCAATTTTCTTCTTATTCTGTCGAAAATTTTGAAGGTCTTGAAAGACAATTTGTTCAAGATCCATATACAGAAATTTTTTTATTAATATTTTTTTTCCATTTTGAAAGAAAATTTTGGGCAAGCTTTCTATATTTCTCCCACATCATAAAACTTATATACTTTCCCTTATCCAACTATCCATTATGAATGGAGGGCTAAGATTTCCCAAATCACAATGTCATGTCTCTAGACTATTTAATTTTTAACTTTTTTTCTATAAACTATTTTGACACCAAATTTTGAACGCCTAATCCTCTATTAAACTCGCACTAGAAAAAATTATTTAAAAAATATTTCTAATAAAATAAAATGACCAACATATCCCTGAAAGATTCAAGGGGTATTTTGGTTATTATATTTTATTGAAAAATTATTTTTAATATTTTTTTATAGGTTTCCCCCAATGAGAAGATGGCACATAGAAAATTTCATATTCATACAAACTTAATATAAAAAACTAAAAGTAAAATACTTTGAGACGTCGGATCTAATATCAAATGGTGAGTGGCTCTCTTGATCAAAACTGGACTGCAGGATGGTAGGGGAAGCATAGATCTTCTATGCTGTAGGGGAAGTATAGAAACCTTTCCATATATATATATATATATATATATATATAAAACTGGAAAAAAGCTAGGGTTAACCCACTAGCTTATATGAACATATGAGCCCAATGGTCCAGATTGAATCTGGGCTAATCTGACGATTACAGATGTTTGGTAGTGCTTGAATTTTAATTTTTTTTCTATAAATCCAAATCATTTGAAATTTTAGGTATGTGTTCTTCTCATCAAGGCACACTTAATAAAATATAAAAAAATTATTCAAAAAAAAGACTAAAATACCCTCTAAAACATTTCGAGGGTATTGTGATCAATTTATTTCATGTAAAATAGTTTTTTGATATTTTTCAAAGATTTACCTATTTTTGATGAACATACGCCTAAAATTTCCAGTGATTTGGATTTGTAGAAAAAAATAAATAAAATTCAAATACTACTGAACATCCGTGATCGTCAGATTGGCCTCGATTCAATTGGGACAGTTGGGCTCATATATTCATTTGAGCTAGTGAGCTAACCTCGGCTTTTTACATATATGGAGAAAGATGAGATTAGCCCACTAGCTCATATAAACATATGAGCGCAACGTCCCAGATTGATTCTGAGCCGATTTGACGATCACAGATGTCCGGCAGTATTTGAATTTTAGTTTTTTTTTTTTTAAAAATTCTAAATCACTTGAAATTTTAGGCGTGTGTTCTTAAAAAA